AATCATTTATCCTCGGCTATAAAGTGTCATCATTGTGGTAGAAATGGGCACATAAAAAAAACAATGTTTTTTATTATAAAAAGAGTCTATCTAAAAATAATGAAAGAAATAGAACCATTCAAACAATTCAATTAGAAAAGCCGTCAACATCGAAGGATAATACATCTGGTTTTGCTTTTATGACTGGAGATTTTCAAAATATGGAGGAAGAAAATAATATTACTTTTATCCTGGACTCGGGAGCGTCCGATCATATTGTCAACCGAGATGATATATTCAACAGTTTTGTCGAGCTCCAAACACCAATGAAAATTTCAGTGGCAAAAAGTGGGACTTTTATATCAGCAACCAAAAAGGGCACCATCAAGGTTACAAGTAATATGGGTATCCAGGGAATTCTTGAGGATGTGTTATATTGTCCAGAGGTCCCTTACAATTTGTTGTCCGTAAGAAAAATGCAGCAGGCTGGTATGACTATTATTTTTAATGAAAAAGGTGCTACTATTTACCAAAACAGTAAGCCTGTTATTAAGGGTAAGTTTTTAACCACTTTAATTGCTGCTGAATTTATTGTTAATAGGGATGTAATTAATAGTATTGTGCAAGCACATAGTAGTACAAATATAACTAAAGATTATAAATTGTGGCATGAACGTTTGGGGCATATAAGCAAATTTAAATTTTTAGAATTAAGAAATAAACTTATGGTAAAAGATTTAGGAGAAATCGATAAGGTTACACCTAATGACTATTTATGTGAAGCTTGCATAAGTGGTAAACAAGCACGACTGCCATTCCAAAAACATAAAGATAAAAGGGATATTAAACGACCCTTGTATAGAGTTCATTCTGACGTATGTGGTCCTATCACTCCTTCAACAGTTAATAATAAAAATTATTTTGTTCTTTTTGTTGATGAATATACTCACTATTGTGTTACATATTTAATAACACACAAGTCAGATGTATTTTCTGTATTTAAAGATTTTGTTGCTAAAAGTGAGGCACATTTTAACTTAAAAATTGTTAATTTATATTGTGACAATGGAGGGGAATATTTGGCTACTAAAATGAAAGATTTTTGTGTGCAAAAAGGTATAAGTTATCATTTGACAGTTCCACGAACCCCACAATTAAATGGTGTATCAGAACGAATGGTTAGGACAATTACTGAAAAAGCTCGTTCAATGATTTTTGGTGCCAAGTTAGAAAAATGTTTTTGGGGTGAGGCAGTTTTAACTGCAACATTTTTAATTAATTTAACCCCTACCAAAGCATTAAATGAATTAAAAACACCATATGAAATGTGGCATAATAAAAAGCCGCAAGTAAAATATTTAAAAGTTTTTGGTTCTACTGTTTATGTACATAATAAAACTAGAAAAACAAAATTTGACAATAAATCCTGGAAAGCTATACTAGTTGGTTTTGAACCAAATGGGTATAAAGTGTGGGATGTGAATAACAATAAGTTTGTTATAGTAAGGGATGTTATTGTAGATGAGACAAATTTTTTATCGTCCAGGCCAGAAACTGACTCCTCTGACTGTTTGTCAAGATCAGTAGGTAATAAAACTGACTCCTCTGACTGTTTGTCAAGATCAGTAGGTAATAAAACTGACTCCTCTGACTGTTTGTCAAGATCAGTAGGTAATGAAACTGACTCCTCTGACTGTTTGTCAAGATCAGTAGGTAAAGAAACTGACTCCTCTGACAGTTTGTCAAGATCAGTGGTTAATAATAATGAGTGTAATAAATCTGTAATTAAAACAGATAGGCCAAATAATAATATTCAGTGTGAACCCCAACTAAGACGAAGTGGTAGAATCAAGAATCTTTTGCCTATTTCTTATAAAGAAACTGATTCGACAAATGATCATTTTATATGTGCTCAATCAGTTGTTTGTCAAATTCCTTTATCATATAAGGAAATTAAAAATAGAGAAGATACATTTCAGTGGGAACAAGCTGTACAAGACGAAATAAATTCCCTCTTGTTAAACAAAACGTGGTCATTGGTATCAAGACCAGAAAATAAAAATATAGTGGACTGCAAATGGGTGTTTTCGATTAAAAATGATGAATTTGGAAAACCGTTAAGATATAAAGCTCGCTTAGTAGCGCGTGGTTTTAGTCAAGAATACTTGGTAGATTATGATGAAACATTTGCCCCAGTAGCAAGAATTACATCTTTTAGGTTTATAATTGCCTTTTCAAATCAATTTAATCTTTTAGTACATCATATGGATGTTAAAACAGCCTTTCTAAATGGGACATTAAAGGAGGAAATTTATATGAAGGTCCCTGAAGGGGTCACAAGTAAACCAAACCAAGTTTGTAAATTGCATAAAGCTTTGTATGGGCTAAAACAAGCTGCCAGATGCTGGTTTGAAATATTTGAAAAAGTTCTTATAGACAAAGGTTTTCAGAATTCATCAGTTGACCGCTGTATTTATATTTTAGACAGAGGTGCCATATGTAAAAATATTTATGTTGTTCTTTATGTAGACGATCTTGTGATTGCCACTGCAAATAGTGATACAATGAGTAGTTTTAAAAGTTATTTGGCAAATAAATTTTGTATGGTTGATTTAAAAGATATTAAACTGTTTTTAGGTATTAAAATTACAAGAATAAATGATAAAATTTCTTTAGATCAATCGTCATACATAAATAATGTTTTAAATAAATTTAATATGTTTGACTGTAATGCTGTCAGCACTCCCCTTCCCAGTAAACTAAATTTTAATGAGTTAAATTCTGAAGTAAAATATGATTGCCCTTGCCGAAATCTTATCGGCTGTTTGATGTATATTATGTTGTGTACCAGGCCAGATTTAAGTGCTGCTGTTAATATTTTAAGCAGGTACCAAAACAATAATAATAAAGAGCTTTGGCAATGCTTAAAAAGGGTCCTTAGATATCTTAAGGGTACAATTAATTTAAGGTTAACATATGTTAAATGTGATTATAGCAATGTCTTAAGTGGTTATGTAGATTCTGACTGGGGAGGTGATGATGTAAAAAATAGGAAAAGCACAACTGGTTACCTATTTAAATTATTTGAAAAATGTGTAATATGTTGGAATACAAAAAGACAGTTATCAGTAGCGGCATCATCTACTGAAGCCGAATATATGGCTCTATTTGAAGCTGTCAGGGAGGCTCTTTGGTTAAAGTCATTAGCAATAAGTATAAATTTAAATGTATCTAAGCCAATCATTATATATGAAGACAATAATGGTTGCATAAGTATTGCTAATAATCCAACAAATCATAAAAGATCAAAACATATTGATATAAAGTATCATTTTTCTAGGGAACAAGTAGAGAAAGGTGTAATTAAATTAAAACATTTGTCCACAGATAAGCAAGTAGCTGACTGAGATTTGAAGAATTAAAAAAGGAATTAGGGTTAGAAAGTATTGAATAAGTTAAATGGTTTGATTAGGTTTTTCTGGGTTTTTCCTAATCTTAAACAGCAAATGCTGGACCATCATTGTAATTTTCCCAGAAAAGACAAACATAAGGAAAGCAGGTCTAGATACTTATATTCTTAAGTTATAACTTACGTATGTTATTTAGTTACATGGTATTGTAGTTTTATGTTAACATAATTTTAGTTTTATGTTATTTTAATTTTACTTATTTGAATAATATTTGAGGTGGCGTGTTGAATAAGCTGATATAAACATATATTAGTTAAACCAAATATTATTAAATAAAACTTCTTTATCTTTACCTCGTAGATTTACTGTTTATAATATCAGCACAGTTAATGTTACGTGCTTGCATATGTTTATGTTAGAATGAAATAGGGCGTGTGTGCTCTAATAATATTTTGTATCACTTTTAGTTTTTAGTCTCCTCTACGCTTGCTTTCCGAGTTGTCTTAGACTGAAGACAATTAAATATTTAAAAGTTAAATTATAATATCTTTTATTTCACTGTCCATATACCTAACATTAAGTATAAAAGCAATCAAATATTTGTATAGAGCGCCATCTATAAAACAATAGGAGAATCTGTGTTATAAACACAAATTATAAAGGTAATAAATCTAAATGTATTCCTTGAAAATGAATTAACAACAGTTTTTCACAGTAAAAGTAAAAAAAATTTTATGAGCACTTCACAGTGGAGTCCGAGCCCGAATTTAAGTTATAGTTTACTGCGAAATTAAAAGGTCAGTACAATGTTCATACACTGCGCGTCAAAATTAACGCATAATAAGTAAAGAAATTCCTCTAAAACGCCTTTACCAATCTTTATGAAATTTTGTACTTCAACTTATATCTCAGTTTACGTGTTCGAGGGCTTTTCGAGAAAATATTTTTAAACTCCTTTTATTGAATATTAAAAAAAACGTTCGAAAAAAAACTTTTATAGGGAATTTTTTTTAAGTAAATAAAAAATATGCTGTTAAAGACCGTATTTTTGTTAGTATACCCTGAAAATTGTGTACAAATCAAACGAACATTAACGAAGATACACCGCATCAAAGTCGGTAAAAATTACCCCTTTTTGATTATTTTGCTGATATATATATATATATATATATATATATAAGTTAAAGTATTTTTTTTTTACTTATTATGCGTTAATTTTGACGGGCAGTGTAAAAACTTTTCAAATATTAGCGTTGAGAAACTATTTAATACTTTTGTATTGAGATAATAAAATAATTTTCACATTTAGTATTATTTTACAAGAAAGGCACATTATTTTAACGATTGTATGACATTTGACAACTGTCAACTAAATTAAAACTAACTTCAGCCCGTGACTAAAAACCTGTTGCTAACTTCAGCCTGTGTAAAACGCCATAAAGCCACAACTTGTCAATGTGTATTTAAAATAATGGGCGTTTTAGGAAGTAGAAAAATTATTATTAAAAAATTAATATAGCTAAAATTGTAATAAAAAATACAAAAATAATAATACTTTAACAGGATTCTGGAAATGTGTTATAGAAAAATAAAGAAAACAAATCTACTCACTTAGCGCTCTAGTGTGGTCGGAATGCTTGGCTCCTTTATTCTTCAACCGTTGCAACAAATCCGACGAAGTCAATTTGTGAACAAGACAGACCGTGATCGCGTATCCTCGGGTGTAATCGGCCTGCCACGACACCGTGATAGTGTTACCGACCGTGGGACTCAACTTCACCATCTGCGTGATGTTCACCGGCTTCGGCGGCCTTTTGGGCTCCACGCCCGGCTTATTGGTGGGTATGGGGTTCGGTAGCGGGCACAGTTTGTTGTTAACTTTCACCATCACGTTGGGCGGAAAGTAATCCTCCTGCTCGCAAGTGGTCTCCAGCAGGCAGAACCTCATCTGGACTTGCTTGATGTAGTCGCACTTCACCCCGGGCCTTATGTCTCTGGAGCTGGCAACGTCGGTGGCCTGTTGCGGGGTGAGGTGGAAGTAAAACGTGCCCTCTTGGATGCGCGAGTTGCTGCTCGGCACCAGAGTGGAGGGTTTCAAGAGATCTGCCAGAACGTCGAAGAAGGGCAATCTGCGAAACTTCACGTCAGGTTGTATGGGGTAGTTGTTTTGGATTGGCTGTTTGCTAGAGAACGATGGGTAGGGGGAGTACATGTTTTGTTGGTACATTTGTTGATTTCTTGCCTGTAAAAAAAGATTTTACACTGTCAAATGTATTACCTATTGTAACGTTAGAAATAGTAACGCTACATGAATTATTACAGGGTGTATCATAATTAACGTGCAATACTTTAATTGCAGATTATACGTATAAAAATAAGAAAAAAATCCTATAAACATAAGTCGCTAAATGCTTCCTAAGGGAGCTACAGCCCCCGAAAGAGGAGCCCCTGAAGATCAAATAGAGCAAAAGCTATAACAACTAAAATCTGCGATAATAAAAATGCTTAATCTGTGATACAATTTCAATACTATGTTAAAAACCTTGGCGTAATAATATATATTATAATACTTATAATATTAATTTTAGGGATCCTGTAACTAGCCATTATGTAGATAAAAATATAATGAAATGTGATAAACAATTTTTTTTTCTCTATGCTCTTAGTGTTTGTTATAACTAAAGCTAAACTACCATCATATTTATTGAATTTGTTAGTACGTCGAAATCAGTGTAATAATATCAATGTGCGTAATAATAGATTTTAACAATTCTCAGTCACAAAACTAGCAAATTTTAAAGTAGTTTTGAGTATTTGTCTACAACAATTTTTAAGATTATATAAACCTGTTTAATGAATGTAATACCTACTCCCTTAGCATTAAAGCATAAACTTAGAACTCAACTGTTACAGGAGCAAAGTTTGTTAACATGGCATGTATTGTGATTCTGGTTGGAGTGGTAGAACTCTTACCTTTTGTATGTAATGTAATGTTATTTATATACAATAAAGATATGTATTATTATTATTATTTAACAAACCGTTCATAGAAACGTGAAATTTTGGGAATTCATCAAACTTTTTATCTACTTTGTGTTCATAATGACTTTATGAGATACTTTATCCCACCCAAAATTTTGATTTTATAGGTTGGCTATACTTTAAACAGCATAATATTTTGCGTATTGGTTATAATATTTTTATGATTTTTCTAATACTTACGAGACTTTTCTGGCAATAAATTTTGTTTAACACCAAAGAAAATCTTTTTTTTCTTTAACATTAACAGCCGCTTATTGTAAATAAGTAAATTAAGGACGGCATGGCGAATCGATTTTGACATTAACTGTCAAACCAATGACTGTGATACCAACTATCTAAAGTAAAATTCGACCCAATTAAATTTAAGGTATAAAATTAATTTTTTTTATAGACCTTTTGTCGCATTACGAAACTCGCTCCTTCTTCGCTCGTTTTATAAATTGTCCGCGTGCGACAAAATGACGTCTTATGACATTAGTTCTTTCATATACTATTATGGCCAATAAGATGTAATAATAGCAATTTAAAATTTTCCATGAGGGGTGGGTCAGATAGATAGGGACTTAGGGTAAAACTCCCAGGATTTGATGACAGATTATTTTATTTTGGAGGTTTACACAAAAAAGGTCCTCTTGTTGAAAAATTCATAACGAAATCACAACTAGAGAAAAAGATTCACCTTCGGCCATGGGACATGGCTTAGGAAAAAATATTCAAGACATTTTAGGTGACATTTTATGCAATGTAACAGGAAGTTTGATCAATTCTCAAAATTTCATTTTGAACGGGTTTGAAGATCAGGGTTGGCATACACAAAACCCCATTTCAAAAACCCAATGGGTTTTTGACACAAAAACCCACCATCAATATTGACAAAAACCCAGTGGGCTTTTGAATCAAAAGCCCACTCATACAGAAATAATTGTCTTTATTTAAAAAAATATTTATTAAAAAAACAAACTACCAAATTAAAACAACTCTTAGATACGGTATCTTTTATTTAATTATTATAATTATATCTGTTATGGTATACAAAATATATATATATATTATTTTTTATACATAGGAATCGAATAATGAAAGATGTGATAGATGAAGGCAACGCAAAATAATATATAGTAGTCTAAAAACATACTGAAGAAATTAAATCACAAAGAAAGCCACAAAGATTTAAAGTTTGATTATGCAATATGATTTATGTGATTTATTTAAAAATTGTATTTTCTATTAAAGTGTAATTCTCAACTATATATTTTTTTATCTCTGTTATGTTATTTTTTTTAATAAATTTACTTTTTATAGTGGTATTACTAGAGCTCTAAAGACAGTACCTTAGTATCACATTAAAAATAGCAATAATATTGTGTTTTAACTTACTTACCTGACAAATCTTGTAATAGTAACTATTTAACTGTTATTTATCTTTGAGGTTATGTGAAATTTCAAAGACCAAAAACCCAAAAACCCCACAAAATCACAAAAACCCCACAAAAACACAAAAACCATCACAAAAACCCAAAAACCCAATACAAATTTTCAAAAACCCGGGTTTTTGCCAACCCTGTTGAAGATATTAAATAAGAACCATTCTTAGGAAGTATTTCTCGACCTATATTTATAGGACTTTTTTTTCTTATTTTTGTACGTAGAATCGCACGCTAATTATGGGACACCCTGTATATGGGTCGTTCCAAGCCAAATCGACCACTTTTAAACCCGACCCCTTTTGATTTGGCTGAAATTTTTTTATAATTTTCTATCCCACCAAAAATGTTTTAATTTTTTTTACCCAACCAAAAAAAATTTTAAATTTAAAAAAAATGGCTCTTTTTTTATATACCCGAAGTCAAAGTATATACAAAGTGGGCCGACTTTTCTTTTTATTTTTTTCATTACATTTACTTAACCATTGTTCTATGATGTTTTACACTTAATTTATAATCTAATAATTAATAAGGACAGTGGGTTGTCTTTTTGTCCAAATTTTTCGAATTTAAATGAGTAAAAAATATGTTCATTATTTAAGTACAAAAAAATTATTTATCGTAAGTAAGAAATAAAATAAAAATAAATAAATACGAGTGAATTCTGACGTATTTGTTTCATCCATTGTCATAAAACACTAGTGTCATATGAATGAATTATATGACACTAGAGTGTTTTACCTTCATAATGGGTCACAAACCAGTATAATTATTTGTGAATTTTGCATAAATAAAATAAATCGTTTGTTAAATTGGTAGGTATATAAAAAAATTAAATTATTGTTCATTGTATTTACCATAAAATCATAATCATTAATCATTAGGTTAGATTATAAATGTGTAAAATATATAACTATTTACTTAAATTGATAATAAAGATTTTATAAGAAAATAAAAAACGACTTGGAAAAAATTTAAAAAATAAATTTTTAAATAAAAAAAATATGTAGAAAGAAAAGTCGGCCCACTCTGGATTTAGCATCATTATCCGCAGAATTAATCGAGGTTTTTTTATAAAAAAAGAACAAAACTTAAAAATGGCGAAAAATTGATGGTTTTTCTAAAAAAAAACGAAAAATTTCGTAAAACTTAACATCAAATTTTTTTTTTATGAAAAGAACAAAACATTTAAAAAAATCGTCCCATTTAGTAAATTTTTCAAAAATATGGGTATTCAACTTTTTTTGGTTAGGTAAAAAAACATTTAAAAATAATCAAAGTGATTTGGCCTCTAGGTACTCTTAAATTGTGTTTTTTTAACATTTACAAGTCTTAAAAAAGTTTGACATTCTAATATATATATAATTATGCAGTTGAAGGACCCTGGTCGATGGGCTTTTGTTACAAAAGTTTTGTATATCTAGTATTTTATGTTCTGTACTGAACTTATTAAGATGCGTTATATGCGTTACACAATAAAATGTGTTTTTAACATTTTTAAAGTCTATTAAGTTTAATAGGATTCTTAATAATTTTAAATGTGGTTTCAGTCTAAAATTTGTTTCCAAAAATGTATTATATGCACACATAAATTGTGTTGTTTACATGCTTATTTTTTTAAATTGTGTTATGTACCTATTTATAGCATTCTAGAATATATTTTTTTCATTCTTAAATATGATTTTGACATTTAAAAATGTGTCTTTAACGCAAAATGTATTAGTGAGATAGATGGTATTAGTGAGATAGATGGTTTAAAATGTGTTATGAGGTTCTTAAATATTTTTTAATTTCTTTTTGTGTTTTTGACATTCTAAATTTAATTCAATGGTTTTAAAATGTGTTTTTATCATTTTTGTATTCAGTTCAAGAGCCGCTTTAAGAAGCCACCTAACAAAGACAAAACTAACAATCCAGAAATTCCTGGCCGGTGCTATATCGGCGAGACATTAAGACAACTCGACATGAGACGTTATAACACTTAAAAATGAGAGACCAATAAATCAGGTGTAGCTGACCACCATAAGAAACGACTGGAAACCGTTGTTAAATACCTAGATGTGAACTAGGAATTAAACCGAATTCGTTTCTCCCGGATGCTCCAATACGCTTGGTTATTCTGGATGCTCCAGTGCTTGTATAAATAGACATGTAGCTACTAAACTTTTTCAGAATTCACCTGAAGATGACTGGATATACTAACGAAATGACGTAATTTAAAAACTAAGGTAAACCTTTCTTCCAACCAACTTGAATTTTTGTTTAAAAAAAATTTAATTGTAATTTGATGTAATTCTACGGAAACAATACATATAAGACCGATTTAGACCGAAATTAAATGAATATATTTTTTTTAAAATTAAAGAAAAGGCAAACAAAAGTTTTGCCAATAAATTACGTTTTAATTGATCAAATCGATAATTTTTATGTTGAAATATCACGTAAGTTACGTGTAATAGATATTCGGATTATTTAGATCGATATCAAATCAATAAATGTGAAAAAAATCATGAGATATATTGTTTATTTCTGGCCTGTGGCAAAAATAACTATAACTATAGGGAACTAAGGGTACTAAGCGTACCTGCATTATCTATACTAAGTAGGGTTGTACCTGGTCAATTGACCGAGATTTTTACCTATTTTGACAGGAGACATTTTGACCATGTCAAAATCGGTCAAAAACTTTTAAGTCAACCGCGCGCGGCGGCGGCGCTACCTAGCGGAAAATATCAAAAGCATTAAAAAAATGTTCGGTAGTGGACCATGGTAATTAATTTTAAGAGAGTAAAGACAATGGCGAGGGTGGGTTCAGTGAAAAGGATGATGTGCCGTTATCTACACATGCTGGCACCGTGTTGTCGGTTTTTGGTTCTTAAAAAAATCTCATGTACCATCTTCAGGTCTTATCTGCTGGGCTGCTGTTGCTGCTATGCTGCGAGCTAGACGTGAATGTTCTTAAAAACAATCATATTATGAATGTTTTTTTGTACCTCAGAAAGGTTTCTTTATTTTTTGTTAGTTGTTTTTCAATAAATATACGTTTCTATTTAAAATTAAGTAATTTTACTCATGCCTTCATTTCTTTAGAAAAAACTAAGGAATTTGACCGGTGCTTGGTCAATTGACCACAAAAGATTTTGACCGGTCAAAATCCCAACCCTAATACTAAGTAAGAGCTAACAGCGTCATTAATGACACTATGGGATTTAAACTCGATTATTATGTTGAACTGAAACCGAACCGACGAACGTGACGCAACGTTTTTTGCAAACGTTTTTAAACTTACACTAATATAAAGCGATTTATGCGTATATTTGGTGGCAGGTATTCGTAAATGCCTTCGAGTTAAAGACGGTTTAAATAAGCGAATTGTAATTGTTATTTGAATAATCTAACAGAGCCCAACACCTTTTCAAAATAAAAACATGCAGTGAATAAAAAATACTTACAGCCATTTGCCTGGTGTCCACATTATAGGGATGCACTGTGGCGGTGGAGCGGGCATTGCCCTGCGTTTGCGGCATGTTGGCGGCACCTGTGGCGGGCGCCGAGTTACTGGGCGGTATTTCTTTGTTGTTATTCGGCGATGGGGCTGAAGCTTGGACCCCTGTAAGTGTACCGCTTTGCCTGAAAGGAAGAAGAGCAAAAAGGTATATCACTTTACTATTAATGTAAATATTGTATACCTTTTTTTACGTAGATATACATAAACATTTTGTTGGACAGAAATTACGTTTAAAAACATGTTTAAATTTAATAATTTTAACTAAAAGTAGCATAAATTCAATTAAACATTAATGATATAAGCTTCAGCAATGCAAATAACATGATGTGTCACATTTATAAACAATAATTATTGCTAACTAGATAAAGAAAGAATTTACCTTTATATCAAACTTTACTATTATTTAAGGAGAAACATTATGTCCTTTAAAATAGAAAGCTACTGCTTTTTACGACAATCGAAGATTGTTTTTCTAAAAAACTACCTCTTTGGGTGTTTTGACATTGCAATCTGTTCACCAGGTTATAATATTTCACTCAAAGCGTCTTTTTTTACCCAACGCATTATTTTTTTTTAATTTTACCTGGTGCTGCAAATCTTCAAAACAAATGCAAGTATGGTTTTTATCAAATACAAATACATAGATAAAATAAAATTTTCTAAGCTTCATTTTGTAATTGTTGTGCCATCCGCGTTAAAGGACTTGGTTACTTTTTATGCAGCTGTCCTTAAGGATTTAATATGTTCTGATGAGTTTGCTACTTTTCTCAATTAAATTACTCATAGGTAGAAAGAAAATGTAAATACCTTTTTCCTACCGCCATAAAGTCAATTTTATTATATGTGACGCACTCCGAGAAAAGGGGTCTAAGCGTCCCAGCGCTAATTTTAGAGGAGAAAGGAAAGAACAGGCGACCGCGCTAGATGGCAGCATAAACGGAAAATGCTTAACACGTTGTTATATGCAACATATTGAAGCAAAATTATATCTGATAATTAAATACCAAGGTTACCCCTTTCCCCTCCGCTTTATGACATATTTTGTCACGATATAAATAGCCATCATTTTGCAAACGAAAACTACTTTAGTTTCGCATCATATGAATTACAATTTGCCGATGACAGTCCTAATCTCGCACAAATAATCCCTTCCCCAAGTTATGACAAACCTCCAAAACCTAGTAAACATCCGAATGGTTCTCTAAATGAACATTATCACCTAATACAAATAAATCTCTTAATTTTCCACCACCGAATTAAAAACCAGTCCCCCAAAATTTCTTTACAAGGGCATATTTACCCAGAAAGCTCCACTAATTACCTTGATATACTCCTAGATTACAAAATAAACCCTAAACTCCATACACAAACAACAATATCAAGGGAAAAACCCTTTTCCGGATTAAGCGTTAACAACCTTGGAATAACTACCAACAACCTTATCAAAATATACCAACTTATCTGTAAACCTGTCATTGATTATGGGTTTCCATTATGTCTCAATTGCGAAACTCCCACTTCAAAAAACATTCAAGTTGTAGAAACATCCTCCCTTAAGGTACGGTTTCGTTGATGCGTCTAGTTTTATGCGATTTGGCTTAGTTTAATATGAATCTCAAATTCAAATTTATATATTTTTATTTTATGTGGTTTTTAAGGCGACAAATCAAAACTATATACTTACTATTTTGTCCCACAGAAAATGCCGAGGGGTAAACCACTCATGTTAAATAATATATCCAAACCAAGTTCAGATGTTATTTTTAAATAAATATCTAATAATAAAAAAATCTGTTTGGCTTAATTGGGTAAATTTTTCCTGTATGTATTAATTAATTTGTAATGGTGTTTGGAACGTTATTACATTGGAACGATAACGAGTAACGCGTTCCTAAAAATAACTCTTTATTCCCAGCTCTAATTACCAATGTTTTGTCCTGGTTTTTCATTTTAGAAATTTGGTCACATATTTTCTGTTTACCCTGTACATATATGTATATGAAAAACCAGGACACAACATGCCCCTCCTAATAAATGTTTATTATTTGAAAAAAAGATGTGCTAATAACGTCAATAAAAAAAATCTCCTGAAGGTACTCCCAAAAATTCAGATTTGTAAATTAATTTTTAACCTCAGCCCCAACCACTATTAATAAAAAAATTAGAACAAATCCAAAAAAAGTGGGAAAGTCTCATAATTTTTTTTTTTTTTTTCAAATGAGGTTTTTTCTTACTTCTTTACTATCCTGAAGGTACTCCCAAAATTTTAGATTGTTAAATTAATTTTTAACCTTAAACTTTTAATAAAAAAATTAGAAGAAATCCTAAAAAAGTGGAAAAAAACCATATTTTTTTTCAAACGAGGTTTTTCCATACTTTTTTACTATCCTAAATTCAGATTTGTAAATTAATTTTTAACCTGAGCTCCGACCTTTTTTTTTTAAATTAGAAGAAATCACTAAAAAGTGGGAAAAACTCATAATTTAAAACAAAAATTTTAAACGAGGTTTTTTCTTACTTTTTTAAAAAATAATAGAACAAATCCTAAAAAATAATAATTTTTTATAATTTTATTTTCAAACAAGGTTTTTTTTTACTTCCAAAGTTTTAGATTTTTAAATTAATTTTTAACCTAACTACTTTAAAAAAGAATATTGCTAATAACGTCAATAATAAAAAAAATAGTATAAACCAGGACCAAATCTGCAAAACCAGGACAAAACCAGTACACAATTAAAACCAGGACACATAAGCAAAAACCAGAATCTGTCCTGGGTAAACCAGGTCACCTTATGTATATACCATCAGAGCTGGGAAAGTTACTTCTGAAAAGTATCTTAACTGCGCACCACTCAATGTGTCGCGACCAAAAAGTTCGTTCTTTTTCAAAACGACATAACTTTTTCGTTTCTTGAACGATTTTATTTTGGTCTGTGATGTCTCTTAGCCCCATCCTCTGGCAATTCATGATATATATATGAAGCTTAAGGTTCTTCAGGTAAATTTCCTACAGGGTGATATGTTTAACGGTGAAAAATTTCAATAACTTCATCCAAGCACCGTTTATAAAAAAATATTTTTTTTCTCGTTTTTACTTTGAAATAATGAAGTATTATGTCTTACCTTGAAACATTTTTCAAATTTTTGGAATTGGAATCTTAGCAACGAAAATATGATTTTTTTTACAAAAGAGTACATTTAAGGCTGTTTTGTAGGCAATTTTACAGCCGGGAATTGTTTTCGAATTTTGATTCTTAGTGATTTTGGTTTTATCCGAGGGGTTATTCACTAGGGGAAAAATGTGACAAGATTTCGGATTTCGAGCGATTTCGGAGGATTTCGAATGATTTCGGAGGATTTCGGAGGATTTCGAAGGATTTCGGGAGATTTCGACCAACTTCACTAAATTATTATTAAGTCTAAAAATACCTCGAAACGTATTACATACACTACTCAAAAAAGTCTAGGGATATTATGATTAAGTGAAATTAAAAACTTCTTTATTAATTTTTTTATTTTATTTTGTAATTGTTTTCAATTAAAAAGTCCTAACAATATAAAATAAATCAAAATTTAGGTGGTAACAATTTTTATTCTTCGCAAATAAAAATTACAAACTTGATTAATAAAATTTATTATAAATGAATTAACAAAATCAATACGAAAAAAATAAAAGCTTGTGTTCTTAGTACCGAGTGTGACCTCCTCTACTGTTTGCAACTGCTCTACATCTACGAGGCATACTTAGGATTAAATTATCTAGCTCATTTTGAGGTAATCTGGTCCATACGTCTTGAAGGCAATTAAAGAGCTGCTCTTGGTTCTCAAAGTAATCATTAACCCTTAGAACGCCTCTCTGTAGCATATCCCAGACATGCTCAATCGGGTTAAGGTCTGGCGACTGAGCAGGCCACGGTAAAACAGGGATTTGGTTAGTTCGAAGGAAATTTCTAACAACGTTTGCGGTATGTGGGCGTGCATTATCATGCATTAAACAAAATTCGGGCTCTGCATTTTGTGCGAATGGAATAACGACAGGACGGAGTATCAAATCCATATATGCGACTGAATTTAATGTTCCTTCTAATCGAACGAGATCTGTTCTTCCGCCTAATGTTATTCCGCCCCAAACCATAATTGTTCCACCTTGAAATGTATGAACCTCTTGAACATTACGAAGACGGTTTTCGGCTCCTGGTTGTCTCCAGACTCGTATTCTTCTTGAATCCGGGTAAATTCCAAATCTAGACTCATCTGTAAATAAGATATGACTCCACTGTTCATCTGTCCATGCAAGATGTTCTCTAGCCCAGATATCCCGTGCTCTGCGATTGCCCCTGGTTAGTGGTGGAACTCTCAAAGGTCGTCTACTCCAAAGATTAATCTCATGTAGGCGATTTCTTATGGTTTGACCGGAAATGGTTAGATTGTGGGTCTGCTGTAAATTTCGTACCAGTTGTGTAGCGGTCAAATTTGAGTTTCTTCTTGCTTGTAGTTGTACAAACCGGTCTTGCGCTGGGGTAGTTATTCTTCCACGGCCTGGGTGTCTTTCACTTACACTCCCTGTCTCACAATATCTACTCCAAAGGCGACTAACAACACTTTGAGAGGTGCCTATAGTATCTGCTACTAGCACTTGGTTTTGGCCGGCTTCGAGCATTCCAACAGCGCGTAACCGCTGTTCTTCGGTCAAATGAACTCTTTGCATAGTGAATATACCAAGCACACTTTAAATACTGTCTTTAAAATGAAAAACGTAAAATTATTTCCTTATGCAAAAAGTAGTGTTTTGCAAAACATCGACATGTTTTTTGTTTGGTTAATAAAAAAAATTATTAATGTTGTAAAAGTACACAGTAACAAACAATGAATTTATAATTTAATAAAATGTATTTATACTGTGCGTCTTTTTTTAACTTATATATAATTATTTAGAATATCCCTAGACTCTTTTGAGTAGTGTATTTTAAGCTTACTAAAAAAACCTTATTATCTAAATACATACTTTTTTAAAACATTCCTTTCAGTATATTAGTATATTCGAAAGTATATTAAATAACGAACGTTGAAAGTGACATTTTCCACAGGAGTGTGGAATAATTTAACAATGTTTTATAGTGCC